CGTAGCTGTTTTTGAGGCCCGTGTTGCGCGCTCGTTTAATGCAGGAGCTGAGCTTGCTGGCTAAGCCCGCGACCCCAGAAAGCAGCCTGTACGGAAACTGCCAGAAATGGGGTTTCCGGTCGAATGGTAAGAGCACGGCGCAGGCGAGGCCAGGACCTCACCCGCTTCACATCGGTGCGGGTTAAATCCTGCAGAGCTGAAGAGGGAGCGGGCTCTGCCCGTGTTGCGCGCTCGTTTAATGCAGGAGCTGAGCTTGCTGGCTAAGCCCGCGACCCCAGAAAGCAGCCTGTACGGAAACTGCCAGAAATGGGGTTTCCGGTCGAATGGTAAGAGCACGGCGCAGGCGAGGCCAGGACCTCACCCGCTTCACATCGGTGCGGGTTAAATCCTGCAGAGCTGAAGAGGGAGCGGGCTCTCCTGGGGCGAGCAGCCCCCCCCCCGGCACTGTTTCCTTTTATAAGGCTTAAGGTTATCCAGCACGCTACGGCTCTGCTTTAAACTGATTTTTCGCCTGCGCAGACAAGCAGCAGCTCTGAGTCACTGGGGGTAGGTGGCGGGGGCGCTGGAGGGGGCTTTTGTGCCAGGGCTGGGGAGGGAGTTGATGTTTATTTCCAAACATTCAAAGTCCTGACAAATTCCAGAGGAGCTGTAATTGTTATAACCTTGAATTATCCTGGAACCAAGCTGCCTTGGTACCACCTCGCCTTTGTATGGCTCGATTTACCCTCCAGGGCTTCCCACTGCGGCCAGTCCTGGCTGAATACGGCAATTGAGAGGCAGAGGGAGCCTGGACCATCTTCTGGCTTTGAAGTTGAGTTTAATCCTGTTAAAAGCCCAACGCTTCAATAGCGGCCTCTGATAATGCGTCTGCTAAGCCCTTTGCAGAGCCAGCCTGGAGGTGAGCAGGTTCCTCTCCTGCCCGGGAAGGAGCGCGTGCCTGCGACCCTGGCTGGAAATGCCCTGCGGGCACAGGGCTGTGGAAGCCACCCTTGCCCCCAGCGCTGCAGTGACACCCAGCCTTCCCCGCTCCAAGCACCCAGGGCGAATTCATGGTGAAACGCCTGGTTTCTCAGCCCAGGTCCTCGCCTGGCCGGTTTGGCAGCCTGGCCCGGCCCGGCAGCTCGTTGTGCAACCGGCCGGCCCGTGCGCACGGCTTTGCAGGGTGGGTGCAGTGCTCGTTCCTCTTTCATTGCTTCCCTACTCAATGTGCAGCATGTTGAAGTGACCCCCGAGGTATTGCTTGGAGCGGGCAGTGGGACCTGTCGTGGCCGGGGAGCTGAGCACACCCAGACAAGACAAGAGGTCTGTGACGCTGGTAGATGCCCAGAGGAGCTCGTCCAGACACACAGCACAAAAACGGGGTCTGATGTGTCCTCCCCACTCCAGCGGCAGGGTCTGGCCAGGCGGCTGTCCGGGG